TGTACGCGAAACTTCAAGTGAAAAGATATATAAATCCAATTATAAAAGATATGTCAATTTCATGATAATTCAACATAGCACAGGTGACAATCATTGCAATTAGCTATCCTCACTCTTTTTCAATTTGCATGTGTCACCGCTTATGGTGTGTATGTTTCACAACTCATCTGCCAGGGTTTGTTCGATTTATGAAGACTTTCTGGTTATGACTTGAAATTGCTTAAACATGGTTACTTGACACATATAAGACTTTCAGTAAAATTTTATGTCAGTTATAATGAACTTCTGGACAAATATTACTTACCCGGTATCTATTTCTTGCATCTCAGATTGACACAGATTGACCTGGTTGTATCTCATGATGTTGACCTATATAGAAGTGGCTGTTGTGTAAAACTGACCATGTTAACTCTTTTTGAAACACCTCACGGTACTTCACTTTAGTCCACTACTATATAATTATTACTCTTAATTTGACATATTTTGGACAAGATTTTGTTCAACAGAATAGTCTTGCTTGTACAGATTTTATTCAAATCTTAGCAATGCACAATATTTATGAGAATTATTAACTAAACCTGATGCCTTTTAGCAACATTCTAGAAAATTTACAGCTTATTTAATAGGCCATGGTGTCATACAATCATTAAATCCTTGAGTAGTCAATAATAAAATCTCGGTCAATCAATCAGAGACTGGGGGGAAATTTCTATTTCCTGTGAAATTCAATGTTGAATGAATGGTATAACTAGATTATCCTGCCACTCCAATTTATTCTATCTAGGCTTTCAGACAAACCGGAAACCTTAACTCTTAATAGTCATTTACTGTTAAATCCATAAGACCAGCTAGGGTACTTTGTAAGATTTTTTTTCTAAGATTTTATCTTGCAATAGTGTTTCTTAAGAAAATATATATACATTTCTTGCAAAAAAAAGGATTTCATGATCAAACTTTCATTGTATGGTATATTTCTTTTCATGTGTTAAAACTATCATTGGTTTTTAACTTAGAGGCTCTTAAAGCCAACAAAACAAGAAAACGGTCCATCTTGAAAGCACTGCAATAGTGTTAAATGGTTGTCACATATATCAGTACTATATCTTCCTTGTCACATTATTTTAGTTGTTCAAACATCTTAAGTTGGTTATTCAGGATTTCAGACCAATTAAAAACTTAAGCTTAGGAAGACATTGAATTAAAATGATAATAAAATATATAATTGGTCAACAGATTGATGGTCACAGTGTAGTATTATATGCATTTGTGGATGTCTGCATTATCAATTGCCCCAGAAGATATAGGAATTTATTCCTGAGGTAGATTCCGCTTTACAGTAACTTCCAAGAGTTGCCAAATGTAACAGTAAAGATTTTGGTGTCTTCAAGATTAATCAAAACCAAAAACATCTCAATTTTATAACTTCAATCCCTCATGTTCTATAAATATTAAGCCTGTCTGTCTTATCTTCTTGTATTATATCCCCAGTGAACAAGTTATTAAAGATTTCAGTTATAAACTGTTGTGTAAATTAGTGTATTTTATAGTATTTTATATAAAATCTGATGTCATAATATATAGTGTTAACCTGGTAGCATGTTAAAAGTTTCAAATAAAAGATTGGAATTCTCTAACTAAAACTTAAGCATATATTTTTATTTTAAAAGTGTTTAAAGATGAAGGTATTGTTAAATATATCTCAAGTAACTTAAGGAAAGAAAACACTTTTCAGGGAAATCTATGAGCTCAGTTCTGTTATTTGCCTGATTGATTCTGGCTATGTGTCTTCCTCATAAAACAGCAAAGCACTTGAGGCTATTTAGTACAGAAAAGAATTGAAGATATGGGATAAATCTTTAATGTTTTTTTCAGCACTCCTGTAAATTTCATTGAACTGAAATGATTTGTGTAAAAATCAATCAATTCACGCCAACGTCAATAATTGCCATTATGATAAAAATGGTGTAGATGAATGAAATTGCGTAAATTCCCAGCAGACCTCCACACTGTTAAATATTGAAACATAGTAAATCTTGATACTATATATAGGTAGTAAATCACCACGTAAATGGGCTGAAGTGCCGTTTCCTAACTTTATAAATCAATAAAAAGAGAAATTCAGTAAATAAAGTATGGCGTCAATTTCTATCAGACACGGACATCCTTATCTTTAATGCCTGTTAATTCAAACAAACAAACTTCACTCTCTCAGCTTTTATCAACATATTCAAGTGTTATTCTTGTCTTTTAAAGAAAATCTCATTGAAATCTGTACAGTGTTTTTAAACTATTTCAAGAGATTTTTTTATTCCATTTTTTAGTTGACTGATTTTAAATTCTCCTTCACATCAATTTCACATTTTACCATGTTTAAGAACTTGTTTAAGTGATCTTGTTGAATAAAATTGATTACGGACAACTTCATGTTTTTTTTTTTATAATTGAATAGCTGAAGCAGAGACTATAATCAACTGTTAAGAATTGGCATTTATCATCTATAATAAAAAAATTAGTGCCTATGTTACTGATAATCTGAAATGGATAAATCTTTAAATCAAATGTAAGATTTGTTAATCCCCAAATTATTAAATGTGAAATAAAACTTATTTGAAGTCGTCTGATTATAAAAACTACAATTGTCACTTTCAGTTTGTAAGATCATGTCAATATTTCTCAATCAGTTTCCAAGTCTACTCAGATTCTAGCTTCTTAATAGAATTGTATTGTGCCCACCTATGAGATATGGGGGTGGATCATTTCTATTTTAGATACAGTACTTCAGAAATATATTTGTAATCTTTAGAATAATTAAAGTTTTTTATGGTGATGAAAACGAAATAAGGCTTGGCAAGAACAAAAAAATACTTCTTTAAATATATTATTATCTGAAAAAGATGAGAAAAATCTACTAGAATTTACTAAACTAAGTGAAAAAAAAAAGATTATTACACTTCATATATGGCCAGTGCACCTTAACTTGGGGCTAGTGATTTCTTCCTATACAAAATATAGTCTGGATTGCAATGTGGAATTTTAACAATTTCCTTGGAAAACTATTCATGGAATGGTTAAAGATGAAAAGTAACAAAAAAATAAAGCACAAAACCTTATATAAATATATAAATTTAGATAATTTTACAAAAAGATTTGGTACTTTGTTGATTTTTTCTAATTACAATTCTTTATTATTAATTCTTTAAAAAAAACCGACCCAAGAAATTATGAATATTACAACAAACACAAAAGGTATATTAAATTATATTATGAAATTTAAAATTTATGTTGATATAAAGTAGATTATTATACAGTTTCAAATGTCTGGTACCATAGTAATAAAGTAATAATTTGCCTTTAAAAAAATATTTGTAAGATTTCATTAAATTTTAGTCAAGATGGAACAGGCCTTTTCATATACGCCATTCCCCTGACTTAGTCTGCCAATTATAATGTACAAGATGTTTGTTTCTGATGAAAAGTGATAAATTTTTGGTACTGGTGTTCACGAGTTTTACTGTGGTTGCAAATTGATATAAAGGCCATCTTTTGGCAGCTTATACCTTAATCATATATAAAACTTGTTTCCAATGGATTAGAACTTCTTTTCATAGACTAATATATTCTGGAATTATTTTTAAGTTCTAAGGAATAGACCACTGTGATTTGGAATACTTTAACCCTGGAATTCAGAATACTCTAGCAGATAAAAGCAAACAAAAGGGTTTTTTGTATCTCATCTGAATAAAAGAGGTTAGAGTGATGTCAAAACATCAAGGACAAAATACTTCATTCAGATCAAATGTGACTGAATTGATTTTCTAAACTCATTAAAAGAGATGATAGATCTCTACAAAAAGTTTATTATTTGCTTTGTGATGTGACAAATATTCAAAATAGCTTAATTCTTTCTATTTGCTTTCCAAATTTCTTTTTTTCGTATCACCACTATCCATGGGTCTAATTATGTAAATTTCATGACAGGTTATAGCACAGTAAGTTAGAGCATTTGAATTATATCATTTGCTTGGTAAAACCAAACAAATGGCGATTCCTGGGCTCTAATTTCAGTAGGTGTATGAAGTCATCTTTCCTTATATTAAAGTCAACCCTGCTGTAAATAGGTACAGATAATCTAGGAAAGATCAATGCCAAGAAGTTTGGCCAAAGACTAGCAGTTAAAAAGGATCTCTGTGAACCTAAGTTGTATCCTTGTATAAAAAAATGGTTGTTTGTTTTCTTTCATATCTGTTGAGTTATTGGAATTTCAGAGACAAAGATCTTGATTTTCATGAAATAGTTATCAGGATGACAATAATTTTAATTCTTTGATGAAATGTTTTATTGACTAGGTTATAATGAACATGACCCTTCTTATTAGTGCATTTCACAACAAATAAAAAGGAAAAAGTCAAGTGCATTTTCTCTAGTTAACAGTATTGTGGGAGTGGAAGGAAATGAAATTCCAAGTATTTAAAGCTTCAAAGAGCACTTATCTTAAAATCTATTGCTAAGTTATCATTAAATTGAGTCAAATGGAAAAATAGTGTTTTTTTTATATTAGGTTTCAATGTAGTTTGATCTAATGGATACATTCTTTCTTAACAGATAAATGACATGAAAGCTGATAACTATTGTCATTGGGAGTCTAATGAGTTTGTTATTCCTGTTTAACTAGATTCATCCATTATCATTATACAAATTAAAACATCAAAACCTTTTTACAACACAACATATTCAATTTAAGGAAATTGAAGTGCATTCCTGAAATTCTCAAAATTGCCTTTTTTTAGGAATGTGAAATTCTGATAATAACAAGTGACCAAGAAAATAGCCAGAGGACATTTCTTAAATTTAACCTTAAATCAACTATGGCACCTATATCTGTATTACATATTTTACTTATAGCTTTAAATTGTAGTAATTTTTTCTCAAGAGATAAAAACTGAATAACTCTTTAATTGTTTGGTATCAGAGAAATGTTCATAAAGTAATTTTTTTTACTTATAGGTTTGGTTTCTACAACGATACCTATGTACTTAGCAGAATGTTCCCCAGTTTATGCAAGAGGAATGTTGGTATCCACCAATATTGCAATGGTAGCCTTTGGACAGTTTGTTGCTAATGTTGTATCTGGTATTTTTGGTTCTGATGCAGAAAATGGTTGGAGGTGAGTTTTTTTTTTAAAGACCATGATCTTAACTCTGTATTTTGTCAGATGGAAATTATGATCAGAACATTGTCTTACTTCAGTTTCCTGCTCTATGTAGGCCTTATGTATTTTTTAGAAAAATTAGTTAATGACAATGTGAACGTTAATGGTCAAAAATATTGCTCTTTTTATAATCAGATCTGCAACTTGATTCAATTTCAAAATAGTTCTAACAATTCTAAATATTTGCATCCATTAAAGTTAAAGTTTCATAAAGTTGATTCTGTTTTCTGTATTGATTTAGAAAGAAAAGTATATAACGGCATCCAGTGAGAAACTTCACCAGAACATTCAATACTGAACTTTGTTTTAAAAAATAGTTTTCTTTTGATGAATTAAGGCATTATAATTAATTTTCATATTGAGACATGCCTAAAAATATTACATATTATTTTACCTTATACTGTCACAATGTCACATGTCAATAACTGTTCCCTTCTGTTATTTTCAAGGTATATGTTGGGTCTAGGAAGTGTGCCCTCTTTAGTGCAGTTTATTGGGTTTCTGTTTATGCCTGAGTCTCCACGTTGGTTAATTAGTGAAGGAAGAGATGAGAAGGCTAGGAGGGTGTTACAGTCTATGAGAGGGCAATTAGATATTGAAGATGAATTTGAAAGTATTAAACAGAGTTGTATTGAAACACAGCAGCAGGAGGATTCTAGAGGTATGATTTTTATTGAACATTATTTCAAAATACAACACACTGTGTTGATGAAATGAATAATTAAATCAATTGGTGGATTACGTTGAAAAAAAAACTATGACAAAACATAGAAAACACTGTTTTTCACATTGGCGCTGAAATTCTTTGAAGAAGCCATATCGGATTTGGAAACATTCTGAGTATACACTAAGATGATGTGAAATTTACATTATCCTGGTGTTATTAATGATATCAGATCTCTATCAGTATATAAACTCTGCAGGTTACAACAGAAAATGATTTCTTGTTTTGGAAGTTGGGAAAATACTTCCACTAAATAAATATCATAGGGGATCTATCAGTTTCTTCAGAATTTATGTATTACACCATGCAATGTGTACTGGTAATTGTACAGGTTCATTATTATTGCTCATTGACTCACAAACTTTACATGATTGTTTACATATATTTGTTGGTGAATACTATCTAGATTTCAGTCCTTTCTTATTCTACAAATATAATCATAAATATTTCAGCAAGTAATAAACCAATAATATTACAAATGTTGTTATCATCTACAATACGAAGAGCTTTATTGGTTGGTTGTAGTTTACAAATCATACAACAAGTAGCTGGTATTAATACCGTTATGTAAGTATTCAGTATTCCATACTTTTACATAATCATCTTGATGACAATCAGAATTTGTAAGTCCTTGTAATAAATTTGATATGAACCAATGATGCATGTAAAAATTTATTTACATATCATGGGTTTATTTTTGACAACTTAATACTGTAATCTGATTGGATGATAGACTTAAGTTTAAATCAGTTTTAATCATTGATCAATCAGATGACTAGAAATCATCTTAGGTTAAGCTTCGAGGAAATAAGAGGTATACAGAATTAACAAACTAACAAGTTTCAAAATGTGTTTCAGTATGACATTATATCATTATAAATGAGAAGATAGCATGTTATAGTAAACTACAATAGTAAAGGGAATTGTCATCTGTAAAAGAAGTTGTCATTGTTCTAGTTATTGAGATTGATGAGCATTTTTTTAAATTATACTTCACTAAAAACATTGTTTGACCTTGGTTTATATTTCCCTGGAGAAATATCTTTAAATTATAGTTAACAGACTGATTACTATGTCCTGATTGATCAGCTAACAGTACCAGTTGAACCAGACAAACTCTCAGTTACAAAACTTGACGGACATGAACTAATTGACTTTGAAAGGTTTAGGAAATGTGATAGTCCCAAATTAGCTATATTGATTTCAAATTTCATCTAAAATATCTCTGAATGACTCTGTAGCCTATAAATAGGACATTTGATTTCTCATAAAGATTGGAATGGTGTCTTCAACAAGTATTGCCAATTTACTTTACAATAGATGTGTAATGATAGCTTTCTACCATCCATAATGGAGGTACGAGAAATCAAAATTTGGTTTTCTGATTTCGATTTAAGTGCTATTGATAAATGGCTCAATTTATCAACATTTATAATAACAGAGCAGCAATTCTAAAAATATCTCACTAATATAAATATGAATTCCAACGCTTTGCTTCGCATCTTTTCAGGTATTATTCTGCCACCATTATTAGAATGTCTGGGGTCAAATCAGATGAATCTGCTATCTGGTTGTCAGCTGTTACAGCAGCAATTAACTTTATATTTACTGTCCTGGGTTTATATCTAGTCGAAAAAATTGGTCGTCGTCCTTTAACTTTGGGAAGCCTCATGGGTAAGTTGGATAGAATTTGGAGTTTACCATCTTTGCTCACTGTACAGATTTTAGTTTTTATCAGATTTTTTTCATTTTCGGTATGTAGTATTTTTGTTTTAATTTTTTTTTCAGTTCAAGGTATTAAGATTCAATTTATGAAACATCAGGTTTATATATTTACAGGTGCCATTATCAGTTTAGCATGGTTAGCTGTAGGATTCCATCTTTCATCATTAAATACACCAGAAGTCAATTGGGTGGAAAAATCTGCATCTGATACACATTGTGCTCAGTATAGGTTAGTTAGTATATCTCCATATATTTCATCATACAATTTTTTTACCACAAGTCTTTTGATACTGTTTATATGCAAATTCAACAAGAGTACAGGATTCATAAGCCTACTGTTTGCTGGGGATAACCTTCAATTTGATTGCTACTCAAACTAGAAAAGGTACCTTATTGCTAATTGTTGATTTCAGATGGTGTAATGACTGTAGAAGAGATTTAACCTGTGGATTTTGTTACATTGATACTGAAGATGCTGCAGTCAATTCATCTTGTTTACCAACTGATTATGATAATCCCTGGCTTTCAACTAGTGGAAGATGTAACATGTCATCACAACACCTACCTGGTCTCTTAACATGGGCTTATGATTATTGTCCTACACCTTATTCTTGGATGCCCATGGTTGGACTTGTCCTGTATCTGATCTCCTTTGCTCCAGGTATACATCATATTCAATTCAATTTTGAGCTCAAGTTCATATAATGACACTGACGAGTTAGCTATACTTGATCATTTTCAAATAAAATATAATTGAAAAATCTGGCAAATCAATATTAAACTATTTAAAGTGTACAAAAGTGAAACAAATTTATACTATTATATCTTGTAAACTATGATACTCTGATTACCGCACAATTTTTTTAGTAAATATTATATGTTGTATTTGTTTTCAGGCATGGGTCCTATGCCATGGACAATTAATTCAGAGATATATCCTCTTTGGGCAAGAAGTACTGGTAACTCTGTATCAACTTTTATGAATTGGGTTTTTAATTTGGCTGTATCTATGTCTTTTATAAGTTTAACAGAAACTTTAACGAGATATGGTAGGTTTTAAAAGATGAATTTGAGTGGCCACCTCTAAAATCATACTGAGAGCCTATGTAGATGGTAAACCTCCTTCAGATGATCTAGCTTAGCCAAAGGAAATATGATCTAGCACACTGAAATAGTCTTCCAATTGTGTTGTAGTTTTACAAGCTGATTCAGTTATGTTAAAGTATCGTGTAAAAAGTTCATTTAAAGAACACAACTGATATGTTATTCTGATTGAAAATCAAATCAATTTATTTGATTCAACAAATGAAAGTGTAATTAGGTAGTCGAAATGGAACAAGTACAGGATGTGACACAAGGTTAAATTAACCTTCTGTTAAAGTTGTTTAATAAACACAAAGATGAAACTTGATAAAATCTAGTGTGATACATGTTACATGAACATTGATCAAAATGTAGGAATAAGAGAGTGGACCACAGCCACACCATGGCATGCGGATGGTAAATATTCAAGATTTTGGATTTGAATATGTATTCACATACCGAATTTCATTTGATTTCTTCAAACACTCTAGTTTGTAGAGTGTTTACGAGCAATTGATGTTGATAGAAGCACTTACTGAATAGAGGTTAAAGGGCGATAACTCCTCAAAACTGACATGAGAGGCCTAAATCTTGAAAAAGCCTTAAATTTGATCAGAACTTTCTCAAACCTTTCGATTTAGGTCCAATAACATCCATTTTAAGTTTCATCAAAATCAGTTGAAAACTAAGAGAGTAATAGCATATTCAAGATTTTGGGTCAAGGGCAATAACTCTGCTTCTAATGGTCGAAAATAGCTTTAATTCGAACTTGATCTTCGTTTTATGAATATGTATACATATACCGCATTTCATTTGATTCCATCAAAAAATCTAGTTTTTATAGCGTTTACAAGCAAATGTTGACGGACGGATGGACCAACCAACGGAAGGACGAACAGGGGTGCCGACAATACACGTCCACATAGAGAGATGTGGGCATATAAAAAAGTAATGTGGTAAATAATTAGTCAATATATAAGCATGTCATGCATCACCTTTGCTTCAGTTTGTGTTCCAAAAGTATTGTGTACAGAAACAAAAGATAGCTTGCCAGGCAAGGTAACATACGCCCAATGGCAGCTGTCAGAGATTATAACTGAACCTTTATTGACCAAAATTTATTATAGATCTGCATAACAATACCAAATTTCTCATATTGAAGATTTTCATTATGCATTGTAGTTCAAAAACCCTGAATACCACATTAATTTAGGGTCAGTTATGCTGAGTTTTTCTTTTCCACAAATCTTTTTAAATCAATAGCAATAACCCAGAAGCATTGAATTATCACACTCCTCCTGTGGCTCTCGTGTCTGAAATTTTCAAAGATGTATAATAACGTATCATCAAATTCACCCTAACTAACTAACATAGACAAATTTGAACTTTACTCTCATTAATATATATGCATACCAAGTTTCATCAAGATCCAATAAAAACTGTAGCCCCAATCGTACGAGTCAAATTTGATGTCAAGGGTAATAACTAAACTGAGAAAAATTGTCAAATTTGAACTTGACCACCGTCTTATCAATCAAAATCCATTGAAAATTGTAGCTTCTATTGTGCCCAAAACAAAATTTTGACGCAATTTTACTTAGTCAAGGGCAATAACTCAAAAAACGTTTCTGGAAAAATCATCAATGCTCACACCAAGTTTCATTACAATCAAATGAAAACAGTAGTCTCTACAAGATATGTTGACGGACGGACCGATGCACAGGGGTGACATAAAAAGTAAACATCTTTACTAGTAAATGAAAGCGAGTTCCTGACCCATGATTCATATGGATTAGACACATTCATTAAGCTACAAAACTTTGTAATATTATTTCAGGGACATTCTGGTTATATGCTTGCCTAGCATTTGGTGGAGCTATAATTTTATCGATAATTCTACCAGAAACAAAGGGAAGGAGTTTGGAAGAGGTGGAAGGATTATTTGCTGGATCATGGTTTAGTGGTGCCACTGTTCAACAACCAGCAAGCTTCAATACAAAAACTATACAATATGTTCATATACGGGGATTAAATCGTGATGGTCGTGAATCAGAACTGGACTCACCAGAATGATGGTCTAGTGGTTAATAGTGATTGTGTTATGGTGACTAATCAAAACTAAAGTGAGTATATCAGGAAATATTGGTAGTAGCGAGATGCAAGATACAAATATTGGTATTACTAAAAATGATCTGGTGGAAGTGATCCAATTGTGATGGTTTATAAAAAATCAGTTTCCAAAACACCAAAACAAAAGTTTGGTTATATATCCAATTCATAAATAGATGTGTATAATAATCTTTAGGTAAACACTAATGAAAAAGTATATTAAGTAATATAAAATATTTTACAGAAGGCAAGTAAGGCAATTTGAATATAAAGCATTTCTCCTGCAACAGCTGCTTTGTTTTCAATCTTGGCTTGCAATTTCAATAGGTGGATCTTAACAAGACAAATGTTTGTGTTAAAACTGTTTTGAACTTTGAACTGAATGACAGACAACTGAAGGTATCAGTGGTTTTAATGTAGACCCATCATCTTATATAACAGCAAAAAAGCTGTCAAAACGTAAAATGGTGTATCGTAATTGAATTGTCCAAATATTTCTTGATATATTCACAAAATTATGCAATACTTGAAAAGTTTGCAATGTAAATATAAATAGTAATGATGTGTTGAAATCATGAATATCAATAGTGTGATAGAGCCAAAAGTCTTTTATCTCAAGAGTATTTATTAGTTGCTGCTTTTAGTTTGATGCTATAAATGTTTATAGACATGAAACAAATCTTCAGAGACATGGTGTCTACAACAAACGTTAATCCTTACTGAAGATCACTTCTTCAGTTCTTAATCTTAAATGAGTATTATTTATGCATAATTTGCATTATCATATTACAATATTGAGCCGAATTTAATTATCATATAAATATGCTACATGTATACTGCAGCCAAGAAATTTTTGTTCTGTTTCAGAAATACTAGTACTGTAGTTAAATATAGTTATGCACTTCATATGATGTAGATATGTCATAATAATATATCATTATGTCCATGTTGCTTTAAATGTTGTAAATATTAAATAAACAGAGTATTTATTGAAATATATCGCATATTGGAAATATCAAAACAAAATCTGATTATATTTCAAAGGTGTGTTTTTTAGAGCATCCAATTATTAAAGCTTATAGCTATTACAAATTCATTACAAATGAGAATACGACTGAGAAATAGACTGAAAGAGTCTGAAAGAGGAATTCTGAGTAACAATTTTTCGACATTTATCCGGTTTTATTTTGATATTTCTCAACTGCTGGACCAATTAATGCATTGAGCTCTATTTTAACAGTGGAAAACCTTATTGTTATTATATTATATTGTTGTTATTTGTTGATTGTGCTCAAATAATTATTGTATAGATACTATATATAAATATATTATTCATGTAATCTCTGTTTATTCTCACTATTTCAATCTATCTATGGAAAAAAGTTAAAATATTTGTCTGCATATGCATTATTTATTTGCAAGTCACATAAGGCTGAATCAAATATTTGGATTTTACATCAGTCCTTTATATATTATCATAGATAATATTTCATATATTCACTAAGAAAGTTGGTATCAAAAAAGTTTTTATATGCTACAAAAACCCTTTAAACTTTAGAGTAAATTGGTAAGATAGTGGACCACAGCCATATACGCCCAACACGGCATGCGGATGGTAAATATACAAGAGTTTGGGGCAAGGGCAACAACTCTACTTCTAACGGTCGAAAATAGCTCAAATTCGACCTTGATCTTCGTTTTATGAATATGTATACACATACCGAATTCCATTTGACAAGCAAATGTTGAACGACAGACGGACCTTCGTTTCATAAATATATATGCACGTACCGAATTTCATTTGATTCCTTCAAACACTCTAGTTTTTAGAGTGTTTACAAGCCATTGATGTTGATAAAAGCACTTACTGTATAGAGGTTAAAGGGTGATAACTCTTCAAAACTGACGTAAGAGGCCTAATTCTTGAAAAAGCCTTAAATTTAATCAGAAGTAAATTAAACTTTCTCAAACCTTTCGATTTAGGTCCAATAACATCCATTTTAAGTTTCATCAAAATCGTTGAAAACTAAGAGAGTAATAGCATATTCAAGATTTTGGGTCAAGGGCAATAAATCTGCTTCTAACGGTCGAAAATAGATCAAATTCGAAATTGATCTTCGTTTTATGAATATGTATACACATACTGAATTTCATTTGATTCCATCAAAAAATTTAGAGCGTTTACAAGCAAATATTGACGGACGGACAGGGGTGTTGACAATATACGTCCACATAGAGAGATGTCGGCACATAAAAATAGGATATTATACATTTCGATAAATGCATTGATAAACCATCTTAACATAACATATTACTCTAGAACTTTCAAAATAGTCCAGTGAAATAATACTCCTTGAGACACAACAAAGAAAGTTCCAAATATAAATAAATCTATTTTATGCAGAAAATTAACAAAGAATAATACAATAAATACTATGAAACAACAGAATACAAAATTTATGGACAAACAGTAAGGAAAAAAACACATAAAGTTGGGGTGTCATATTCCAAATCTCTATTATCCAAGAAATCTTATTCAAATAAATGTTCTATGTAGTTGAGGACACCGTGCTCACATGAATAGAAATGTTCTTTGGTGTGTCTGTTAAGATTAATTATGATTGAAGACATTTCTGGCGAGATCTCAATGAATAAAAGCTTTGAGTTTGAGAAGAATCAGAATTATCCATGAGAGAGTCTTGTGTTGATGTCAGGTATTCAGTTGAGAATTTTTCTATGTCTTTCACATTACAATGAGTGTGGAGTTGTGTCCCATTAGTCTCATCTTCACAAAGTTCCACACACCCTTGAGTGAACTTCGGACTATAAAACTCCAGAGATTGCCATTGTGTACTTACACTGATACTACTATATTTTTTAAATATCGGTGACAAGGCTACTTCCTTGGTTAAAACATCAGTTTGGGTTGCCTGATCAACTCTTAGCCTGTGCAGGACATCACCAGACTGGAGAAGTAGATGACATGATGTTGTTGGATCAACTGATGATGCTTCAGATTCCAGATCTCTAGTCATGTCCACATGAACATCAAGCTGTACGGTGTTCTCCTTCTGTCTTAAAGAAATTGCTGTATTTGTTCCGTCGTTATGTACTGAAGAGAAAGGTTCTAAGGTTTGATCCGATGTGCAAAAGTCATTCGGTGTAAGCACATCAATATTGTTTGCTATATGATCCAATTTGTGCACATGAGCTTTTTTAGTGTCAACTTGTAAATTAAAAGATTCTGGATTGCCATCTTCAAAACTTCTGTTTAATCTTTTTGTGGCAGCTTGAGTTTCAAAAGAATCTGGTATCAGGATTGGTGAATGGCACAAAGTTTTATCACTGATTTGTCTACTCACTGATAAATCTACTGCTGATGTAGAAGGAACTTGCTTATGTTCTGAAAAGTCTTCTTTAGATATGCAGGTATTGTTTTTATCTAGAAAATCTGTATTAGTTATGCAGGTAATGTTATTATCAAACAAATCTTCTTTAGATGTGCTAGTACTGTTGTTTTTGGACAAATTTTCTTTGGATGTACATTGAGCATGATTGTATTCTGGCAAATTGTCATTAAAAATAGGAGCATGGTTAGTATCTAATAAATCTCCATTGGATGTTGGAGTATCTGATTTAGAGATGGTTTTATTTAAAGGTTTCTTTTCAACATGAACTTCAGTTTCCATTGTTCTATGGACACTTTCACTCAAATTTGGTGAATCCTGAAAGATAAGTTTATCAATAAAGTAAATTAATCTAAGGCATCATCTTCCTTCCTTTATTAAATTTGTAAAAACTGTATATTCTGAAAATTATATTTTTTAAATATCTACGGAGCCCCTAAGGCGCAATTGTAAACATATTTATTTATCATTTTGTTTAAACGAAATAAAAAGATGGGTTAATTATTTCGTTTCAACGAATTAATAATAAAAAGTGATGAAAATTGCGCTTAAGGGGCTCCGTAAATATCAAACTCTTCTAAAATTTCACCAAAATACAAATTCATAGCAAGTTTCACCAAAAAACAAATCAAAACTTTAGCCTCTATCCCATTTGCAAGCCAATTCTGGGCAGGCAGAGAGACATGTGTGAGAACAATATATGTCCACATTATAAAAAACAAATATTTCATTCAAGTAATAAGAACATTACCATTGTTGTCTGTGTCTGAGAAACAGGGGATACACTTTGCATATTATCTGAAAAAGATGATAGAAATATCAATGTCTGAAAGACTAATATAATTTGAGGCCTAATTGCAAAATAAACCTTTCCAATGTTTTTCATAAAAATAAATAATATTCTGTATTCTGTTGTATCCTTTTCCATAAAGTCATGACATTCAATTGTTTACAATCTGTAACCGTGTGATCATGCTAATGCAATTTAAATCTTTTATGATAAGTTGAATAGTTTACCTTTATCATTTTCATGCTGTAATTGACTAAGCTGTAAAAGATTAAAGATCTTTCAAACTTTATAATATCAAATCTCAAGAAGAGCTATGTGTATGGTGCAAATCAATATTTTCATTGTAAATCATGTAAAATCAATGTTTAATTTCAAGAAGGTGATAATTACGTATCAGATATAACCTGACAAATCTGGTCTTGTCCATTCCATGGACGTGATATTTGGGAGGGATATGAGCATATTTAGGCCATACATAAAATGTCACATTTTATAGGAGTTGCTCCGACACTAGTTTCTTAGAATTTTCACCATGTTAAAAACCAAATTAGGCTTAACTTTCGGAGTTGTACAAAGAAGGAAAATCTTACACCTCGGTACCAAAACATATACCAAAACTTGTAAAATGTTCATTTAATATTGTATAGAATTCAACTTACTTCAGCTAAAACTTCTGTCATTTCTTTTGATTTATCAGCACTGCAAAATACATGAGGATGTTAAAATTTATAATGTAAGAAAGATGAAAGTTAATTATAACTGATTTCAATATCATGCTAATTAATTTGAAATTTTTAAAATTTTAATGTCTTTTTCTGTGAACTAGTTATCAAAGAGCTATGTTATGTAAATTTCAGTGCGGGTATTGACTGACTGATGTAAATGCAAATACGTATTATAACAAATATTGATATTGAAAAACTACCTTTTCCTCTTCTTACTTTTTTCTCTAAAGTATGGCGTTCCACCATCTCTTAAACCTACAAAAAACAATAAAACTATGATACCACTAAATTCTTTAAAAATCAACATTAGAATTCATGGTATTGCTGACTTTATGTCATATGTTTAGCATAGATTGTAATGTCTCATCAGAATCTGTTTAAAATGTGTAAAGGGACAGATGCTCCATTTTGCAGTTTTGAATATATATAAATAGTCTTCAGAAGTACTAGAAATGTATGAAATTTGCCTAATTCCTTCAAAAATATCTCAACATCAGGAATTTCTTTTCCTGTTTCTATAGATGTATTTTCTATATAAGGCAGTATTTCAAACGTGGATAATTCTAGACACACATGGATTTGAATGGTGAGATCTGAACACTATTACTGATTGGCTTTGCTTAAAAATTCCTGTTTCTGAGACTAGGGTACGATTGGTTAAAAAAATGCCAAACCTCTTTAATGATAAGAAAAAAACATTACCTATGTTGGATTCTTCATCAAAAGAGGTCATAACTTTTTGGTCTTGGCTCAGCATTTTAACAAAAGATAGTTCATTTGGTGTTAAAGCAGCCATTTGTTGAGTTGAGTCAAAAAGAGGAGTAAGAGACTTTCTGACATTATGATGATTGTTAAATAAATGGGGAGGGTTTTCACAGATGGGTGTTTCATCTCCATTAGCAATTTGGTTCTTTTCATGGTAATTTCTTGGATGAAATCGAAACAAGGGAGATTCAACTGGAATATTTCCTATTCTTGGTGGCATTTTATAGTGATGATTATCTAACAAACTGTTCATATTACCATGATTTCTTATAAAATTACTTTTAATTTCTTCTAAAGTTGAATGACTTCCTGTTCTTTTATTGTGTGTAAGTTTATTCACAGGAGTACTTTCACTATCTGGTTCATAATAAGATGAAGTTGAATAAGATTCATAATATTTTACTGAATTCATGTGAGGATTTGAGAACATGATTTGATCCCAATTGTTGTGGTGTTTTGGCTTTTTAAAAGCATGAAATGAATAGTCACCATCAAAAGAGTCCAATTTTGAATATTGATTCATATGATTCTTTAATTCTTCCCTTGATTTATTCTTATATGCTTTTTGAGAATTTCTGGAAAATTTCTCTTCAAGGTATAAATCTGGAGGTTTTATCGGATTAAAACGGCTTGAATGGTGTTTTTTAGTATGACAAATTTCAGGAGATAATTTGGGGAAATTGTTATCATATGATGTCTTATAACTTGGTTTTAAGGATTTAAAATTCTCCTGAATCCATGGTTTGGGATTTATGTCCTCTTTCAAAGACTTTTTATTGAAATCACCATTGACTTTCCATGGAATCATATCTTCGTATTTGACATCATATTCATTTAGAGGAGTGATCTGGAAATCTTCACTAGCCCAAGGATTGTTCACTTGAGCAGATGAATGGAACATATCTTTGTCTGTTGTATCTTTTCTTTCAACAATTTGGGAGCTGAGTCCCCAATCATCAATCTGAAGAAAAGTTAAAGATATCAGTTGGTGAAACAACAAATTGGACTTAAAATTGCTTTAAAACTGAGGACCTATTGCACTTCTCTATACAAAAATAAAAACATTGATATTAAATGCTTTATGTTTTAAAATGTATAAATAAGATCTATTGGACAAGGAGCTATTCATATTTTTGAATGCCATGCCATGAAAAGAAATAAATAAAATAAAAGAAATTTCAAATAACAAGAAAACTTACAGGTAATTTCATCTTTTTGTTAGAAACATTTGGAACAACTGTTGAGTTATATTCACTTAGACATGTTTGGGGTCTCTTCTTAACAGGCACCTCATTCTGTTTTACATGATATGAAAACAAAGATTTTGGTTCATGTTTCTCTGTTTTTTCTATAAAAATATCTTTCCATTTTGGATTTTCAGCTCTAAAAATTCAATAAGTTTTTGTTTTCTGAAACTTTGTGGTTAATGTAAACATTACTGGTATGCAATGTTAAATGGGAGAAATACTGCCAAAATTGAAGCGATAACACATCTATTCTCTTACTACACTGTTTTCTGAATTTTCGTATGAATTGAAATATAGACACAGAATTCCTACTGAGAGTCTTAGATTGCCTTTGGGATGATAAAAATGTTAACCACTTAAAAAAATATCAATTGTAAAAGTGATTTTACAGAAGCAAATTTTCAGTCTAAAAAGTATGTCATTTTCACTTGAGGGGAGGGAAGTGTGTCTAGTTTAAAAGTAAAAATACTGAACCTTATATTTCTATGGACAAATGGTAAAAAGTTGAAAATTTTATTTTGAATATTTATGAGATGAGAGAAAAAATTCAATTCAAATCTAAATGTAGTCAAAGAGTAGTTGGATTTTCTGTCAAAAATTTTTCTAAATGTAAGCTTATAGTCTATAAGTCTATATCATACAGTGCCTTGTCTTCGTTTTTTAGTCCAATATTTATTTTTCTGATTTGACAAATTAATTGTAGAATTTAGAGTCTTACTTAGTACTAGTGGAATCAGTCAGTTGAAGAGAAGATGGTATGGCTATAGGGGAATGAGGTAAATCAACTTCTTGTACTCTATTTCCTTTAACCACGGTAGACCTATAACCTTTTAAATCAACCTTTTTAACTTGACCTTCATCTACTCCTAAAATCAAATGGACAATGAGATTATAATAGATAACTTTTTAAGAATAAATATCTTATAAGTTATCTGGAAATGCTTCACTTATCTACATCCACTATTGAAGCTGGAAGCAACAAAGAATGTTCGTCTCTAAAAAGTATTTTCAAGTGTTTAGGTTCTCTCAGCATTAATTGTTAATCACTTACCTGGTTTGGCTACTTTCCCATTCCAAAGTATATGAAAAACAAACCTAAACAAGAAAAGTTGGGGGAGAATCTATTAACTGTTTGAAGAGCAGCTATGTCCTGACTGATTATTCGATTCATTGATTTTTTTCTTCCATATGCTAAATCATGAGGATTGTGTTTCTTTAATTTCTGTCTTTCAAAAAATTCCTGAAAATGAAAAATTATTTTTTGGTAACAGCTATTTTTTGGTAGGCTACAGGAACTCAAAAGTTGAATTGACATTTGAAAAATGTAGAAGTAAACCATGATAAGATCTTGATTTAAGTTTATTGAAGTCAATAAGCTCCAAAATTGCTTACATTGGTTATTTGAGAAGTTAATTCAGTAATCATGTCTACCTTCTGAAGTTTCTTTTCACCCTGTAATGAGACTCTTTGACGGGCACCACCAATCCAGTTCATTATTCTGCTCTCAGATCTTAGTCTTTTATCAATAACTAACAATTAATATCAGATATTCTTGTACACTTTGTACGGGGCCTCGGTTTATTGTCCCATCCGAACGACTAGGCACTTTTTCCATGTCAGCCCCTCGTACCTGCCTCACTGACAGGGGAAAACCGGGTTGAAAAAACTGAAGGTATTATCTCGACCTATGCCGGGATTGAACCCTGGACCTTCAGGTTAGCGAGCAAGTGTCTAACTCACTGAGCCACCGCGGCTCCCTACGGGTTTTCAAGAACAAGGGCAATAACTTTATGTGGGCGTATAAAAATATCTGATGATATTGCTACAATTAGAAGCCAAACTAAGAGTTGAGCACTCACAAAGAAAGAGAGTCAAGATTTTACAGTTGTCTTCTGGAGTAGAGTCAGGAAAGCTAGGCCCTGTATTATGTGGATTTTTATTATGTTTATTATTTTTAAAACATTACTCTTATGTAAGAGTTTTGGGATCACAGACGCTTGCATTTTGTTGGGATCACATGACCCTGTGACTCTTTTGGTTGCACACACATTCTTAAACTTAAATGACGGCTAGCCTAGTTGAAACAAATTTGATGGAACCACAGACTTGACATAATTACTAAATTAGATGGATAATGAATGATGGTATGAATGAAATACAAAAATAACCATCTTTCCGAATTTATCGGGGTTTTGCGGATCCGATTTCAATCAATAAACCTCCCAAGCGAAGGTGCGGAAAATTTCCACAAAACAAGGCCTCTTTTTAATTTTTTTCTGTCTCTCTCTACACCAGCCAACAGACAACCTGTCAAAATAGCTACCAGAGGCTGGAAATGGAATAGAGTTAGATGTTTCGATGTAGATTTAAGCTAGTCAAGTTATTTCGGCCCTCGCCCATGTATCTAAGCTAAAAAACCCAGCAGATCTGCATAACATCTTAGCTTAGGTTAGGAATTATGTCTCAATGTTTCAATGTTTACAGATCTTTACCAAGCAGACGAAATCATGTCTCGATTTTCCAAAGGTCAAAGTCTCGTGAACTCACGTGTGTTTACATCCAAGATGGCGCAGAAATTTGACATGTGAAAATTATTCTCAAGGATTTCTTCTAATTTTTTGATAATTCCGTATAATTATGTCCAACCTTTTGGAGGCTTCATCGAGAACGAAATTCTCCAAAGGAAAAATTACATGTGGGACCGCTGCATGCCTTTTGGTGGCTTATGGAGTTCGAAAATATTATCCAAAATTATTTGGAAACAAAAATATTACTTCAAGATCTACAAAGTCAGCTGATTCTGATGATAAAAGCAAAAATGAGAATGACCAGATTACACTGTGTGAGGACTCAAAAACTATATCCAAACGTAGTGCTGGAGTCAACAAATACTTTTACAAACAACTTAAAGACTTATTGAAAATAATTATTCCAAGTCCATGGACAAAGGAGTTCGGGTTGCTCATTTTGCACACTGGCAGTTTGATAGCCAGAACATTTTTATCAATTTATGTAGCGAAATTAGATGGTCGAATTGTAATGACAATAGTTCAACGAGATGTAGTTAAGTTTTTAATGCAATTGGCTAAATGGTTGCTCATTGCTGTGCCAGCAACTTTTATCAATAGTTTGATTAGATATTTAGAGAGCAAACTTGCACTGGCATTCCGTACAAGACTTGTCAATCATGCATACAAGTTATACTTTAAGAATCAAACATATTATGCTGTCAGTAACCTTGACAGTAGGCTTTCAAATGCAGATCAATGTTTGACTGAAGATATAACCAGTTTCACGTCATCATTGGCTCATCTATATTCATGTTTAACAAAGCCACTTTTAGATGTTGCAATGATGTCATTTGCACTTAATAGTTTAGCTAGTAGTAGGGGAGCTAGTTCCAAAGTTCCCATTATTGTAGCTGCAACTGCAATTGCTGCTACAACGAAAATTTTGAGGGCAGTTGCTCCAAAGTTTGGTAAAATGGTAGCTGAGGAAGCAAAAAGAAAAGGTTATTTACGATATGTGCATTCAAGAATTATAACTAATGCTGAAGAAATTGCATTTTATGGTGGTCACCAGGTTAGTTGGTCAAGATGATTAGTCATTATCTTCTGAATCATTCACATAAAATCAGGTTACAAGAGGGTCCAAATATTTATAAGATAAAAAATTATGTTTAGATCTAGATCTTTTACCAGTACATTTATCTAATAGACAATGTAAATGTATAGAATTTCCTTTTTACACAGTTTTTAAAAGGTTATATGTTTCATGTCAGAAATACCACAATGAATGAGTTACTGCTTGAATATTGCATTCAAAAATTTCTCATTGTGGACATTAGTATACATATTCATACTGCCAAGAAAGTAATAGTATCAGTGATTTTGTTGCTATAAATATATGGTTTTGCTTCTTTTTTGAAAAAAAAAGTTCCTCTTTATGTCATTAAATTTTACAAAATAATGTACTTATAACTATACTTCCAAACTGATATTCTAATTCATGAATAATCACAGTAGGCTCAAGTATTTGATAGTGTCTTATGATTCTATGTTTCTGGTTTTATAGGTGGAATTGTCTCACCTACAGATAAGTTATAAAGCATTAACTGAACAAATGGAGATTATATTTTCTAAAAGATTGTGGTATGTAATGTTAGAACAGTTTTTAATGAAGTATGTTTGGAGTGCTTGTGGTTTAATCATGGTAGCTGTACCTATTATAACTGCTACTGGAAGACGAACAGATGGTAAGTTATGCTTTATGTTTTGGTGACAGAAAAATAGAATTGATGCTGTGATATACATATAACATCATTAGGGTAGCTAGTTTTGAATAGTGGTTATAACATTAAAACAATCTGTTATATAGACAGGGCCTTCTTCACTTACTACCAATTAGATTGCCTTCCTTTATGATGATAATGATGAAAATGAGAATTCTAATATTCAATTATTTGAGAACTAGGACTATAAGATATACTGCATAGATTAGGTCAACCTACTTTTTTATATTTTAAGTTAACTAGTTGATGATTATTTTTCTAGGTAGTTTAGTAGATGAAGACCCTGATGGTGGTGTCAGTGAAAGAACAAGATCTTTTACTACAGCCAGAAATTTGTTAATCAGTTCAGCTGATGCTATTGAAAGGATGATTTCTTCATATAAAGAGGTACAATATACAAGTGGATTCTTCAAGTTATCCTTGAAAACACTTGTCTTATTTCTCATTACATTAAAATTGTAGCAAATATAATATTGCAAAATCAAAATTGTTTACTTGGAGAGACTAAAATTAAAATTTCCAAGTGATTCCTCTTTCTTGTTTTGTTAGATAACAGAATTAGCAGGTTATACATCAAGAGTATCTGAAATGTTTGAGGTTTTCCGTGATATTAATCAAGGTCATTTCAGTCGTCAACTAGTCACTAAGCCAAAAAATAATCTTACCAAAATAGATGGACCAATTCTTTCACGAGGTAAAATGAAATTTTAATATTTTCCATATCAATTTTTTTTTAAGCCTACCTTGATTTTAATTATGACTTCTTGATCATCAAATTAATTATTTAACATTGACATGTAAATGTAGAATAGAATATTATGTTTTATTATGTATTTAAAGGTGAAGTAGTGGATATTGATGGTAAGATATATATAGAAGATTTACCTATTATTACTCCTAATGGTGATATTATAGTATCTAGTCTTTCTTTACAGGTATTTTCTTTCAAATTTATTTTTTTTAAATGACCTTTGTCCTCATTTCTCATGTGTAAAAGAACAATCTTTTTGAACAATATCTGTCTCTTCTTAAAATAGATTATAACTGATCAACAATGTGTTTTAAATTTAATTCTTTGTTGAGTTGTTAGAAATATCGTCATTGCCTTTCAATGGGTATCTGATTACCTGTTCTACTTGCAAACACATGTTTTTTTTCATGCGATAATGTGGTATAATTGATTTATAGATGGAAGCAGGAATGCATTTATTAATTACTGGTCCAAATGGATGTGGTAAATCATCGTTATTTCGTATATTAAGTGGTTTATGGCCAGTATATAGTGGTAAACTTTATAAACCACCATTATCTTCTTTATTTTATATTCCACAACGGTGAGTGGTATTTATTATTATTTTTAAAACATTTTATATTAGCCTGTATGCACCAAATAAGATCAAATTAAGAAGAATAGAATAATTTCAATATATTTAGAGATGATTCTATTTTTCTATATGCACCTACTTATAACCACCATAACTACTTATGTTACCAAAATCATCTAAAACGACTAAAAATTGATCCATTTTAAAATTCTTTAAGAGGGAAAGTGAATTTCTTTTGATATACAAATAGAATTAAAATTTAAAGTTGTTCCAGAGTAACTTTAAGTTAAGCATACAGTTAGCCAATATTTGAATATATTTAATATTCAATTTTAATTTTTTAAATAATTTTTTCTTTATGGTAAATGTTAATGTTCAGGTAGAATAGAATTACATTAAGCTTAATTTAATTTGGTGTATACGGGCCAATATAGCATAACTATTTAGACGTAATGCAGCTAGAAATCTGGAAAGTCTTTAAATTGATGATGAATATCTTATCATTCTGTTCATTAGGTACTGTACTGAAAATAAAAAAAAATGATACATTACCACATAGCTTAATTCATCAATCCATTTCAATCCATTAGATTTGTATACAAAGTTATGTTATATTTCAGACCATATATGTCTATAGGTAGTTTACGAGATCAAGTTATTTATCCTGATACTGTAGAAGATATGACTAGAAAAGGTTTTATAGATTCTGATTTATTGAATATACTAGAAATAGTACATTTAAAACATATTGTACATAGAGAGGGAGGTTAGTACATTCTTAATTCTAGTTCTACAAACAAATATAGTTCCCTATTATTATAGTTAAAACAATGAAAAAACTCATTGTAGATTTTAAGACATTTTCAAATCACTAGAATATTCAATTGAAAAGACAGTACAGCAAAACTTCCAGAAAATCCAAAAAGATGCTGCTGACAGTATATCTTTAACTTTTGAGTATCACGTGCATTGTCACTTTCTAACATGGTTTATTCTACTGGCAATAGTTTGAATAAGTCTTTTCTTGAAGCTATATCTAATTTACAATTATTTATTATTGAAGATATTAAATTATTAAAATATATTTTGATGATATTCTTTAGGTTGGGATATTGAAAGTGATTGGAAAGATGTGTTATCAGGGGGTGAGAAACAACGAATGGGAATGGCTAGAATATTTTATCATAGGTATTTAGATTTATAGATATTGGCAAGTGGGTATAAATCACTGATATACTATTATTTAGTATTTTATGAGGGGCCAAATCCCATGAAAGGAGATTTGTTTAATTTCCTTATTATAAGAATGAAAATCTAATGCAAAAACCACCTACAATTAAATACAGACAAAAAATGGTGTTAAATTAATTTTTTTTGGGAGCACAAATGTAGTTGACAAGTAGATCATATGTCTATATAGACTAAAATCTGATTTATTGAATTACTGCTGGTATTTATAAATATATCAATCCTTTGATTCAGAATTATCGGTTATAAAAATAATCCTTCAGGTTAGAAATTTCTAGTCTGTAAGAAAGTGGAGATTAAATAAGGTAATGATGGAATATTTCAGACCAAAGTTTGCTCTATTAGATGAATGTACGAGTGCTGTATCTATAGATGTAGAAAGTAAGATATATCAAACAGCTAAAGATTCTGGTATAACACTTTTAACTATTACTCATAGACCTTCTTTATGGTAAGTCTTCTTGTATAACTGTATTTATTATACCTATCATCAGATAAGCGAGAAATGTAAATGTTGGGCACAATATTGGTTTCTACTTCGGTGTTGGAATGAGATGAGAGTAGTATCTCAAGACACTGATCTAGATCATGAAGTAAGAAACAAAAACTTCAGTGTTAAAGATGTACAAAAAATCTTCTTTTGGAGGTTTGGTTTATTTTTGTTTTGCTTGTATAGTAATAGTGCTGTTGCTTTTGATTTAACCCGAAAAATATACTCCACTTGCCTGTGTGTGTCCTAATAGGTGTTATATCAATAATTTATTGCTAGAAATATTAATGTTTTGATAGGAAACATATATTACATGTTGTTTTTACATTGTACTGACAGGAAGTTCCACACTCATTTATTACAATTTGATGGTGAAGGAGGGTGGAGAATGGAACAGCTAGATACCAGTACCAGATTATCATTGAACGAAGAAAAACAACAACTTGAAACTCAACTTACAGGAGTTCCTAAGATGCAGCAGAGATTAAAAGAGCTCTGTTCTATTTTGGGAGAGGATTCTGTGTTACTTACTAAAAAGGGAAGCTTTGTCAATTTGGAAACATCTACTTTGAGTGATATTCAAGAATGAGTTGATAAAGTTTAAGATTTATTACGGCAATGAAGAGTTTTGATATATTTGTCTGTGATTGTCAAATTCTTTTTTTTTTATTTGGTGTCATCTCACTTAAGATTGTTTTTCTTTTTTTTTTGTAATTTATATGTTTTTTTTGAATATAAGATATAGTCATGCTTTGAAATTTCTTTTTACCTTTTAAAATCTACAATCTGGTAAAAGACGTACAATTTTTTTCAGGTTTAAATATTAGATGTTTTGATGTTATATTCATGTTTAAAAGAGGATTATAGTTAGGAGATTATACATATTCTGTTGATCTTGATAAAAAAGTGAAGCGGTATGTTTTTTATGTGTCAAAAATAAATCATGATGCCCTCTTGAGAATTGTGTCTGATCCACCATGTGTATGGACAAATACAGATCTATTTCTGTGTATCAATTTGATGTTTTTTATTTATTTATTTATTGTATATTATTTATTGACTTGGTTCATTGATATTGGATGACTAAGAAATGACAATCTTTTTGTATGGTAATGCTCATTCTTTAGACTTATTACTGTTACAGGGTCAATGTGAATTTCCATTCGATATTGGGTTTCTCTCGAATTTACTACTTATTTACAACTTCAAATGTGGTTCTTCTTTGTTGACCATGTTCAAAGACGCTTAACAAAAGTTGATGAAAAGCTTGGAATTGGAATATATGGGTCAACTCTATTACGACTCTCCGGATTGTCCGCTGAAATATCCAGAGGAAATTGCAATAGAGTACGACTGGAGATCCAACATGGCGACAAATGCCAGTATTTCGGTATCAGTACTTGAACTATTGGGATCCAAAAATTTCACAAGCCCTAATTAATTCTTATAGTCTAAGGGTAAATAGAAAAAACTTTTTCATTCAGAAATAATTTATCAAAGTTGCACAGGTTATGTAGATTTAGGCCTACTGGTACATAGACTGGGAGTGAGAGGTAATAATTGAATTGAAAATGAAATTTACTGACTTAATACATTAAGATTGAAAGATTATAATATAGTACTGACATCAAGACGGGAGGAACATTAATTAGTCAAAAATAGCATCCCGATTCATGCAAGCCTTCATATTTTGTTTTACAAATTAAATTAACGGATAAATCACGTTTCATTAATTTTGTATGATGCCCCCATGATTAATCATGTGATCTCCGCTATCGCACCGGTCTGTAGAAAGGAGAAAACGGATATTCCGGATTACCCACATGACATGTAATAGAGTGGATTTGGACGAATCCGGACCAGCCGTTTTTGTAATAGAGTTGGAAATATATTAACACGAGTTTAGTCAGCAAAATAATATTAAAGTATCTTTAAACTTTACAAATTACAAGTTTTTGGTTTGGCTAATTTTTTAGTAACTGAATTCCAATATAAAGTACCTTGTTATAATAGTATTATTTTTATTTTGAAAGATAATGTGGAGCATGTGAGATATTGTTATTTTGATCCGTGTTGTTTAGATGTTTATTTTGTTTTTATCAGTATTTTGGAATGATTTATGTATATATTTAGTTTGTATTATTTTTTAAGCTATGACGCTCTGGTGAAATATTAACAGGCTGATGCTTTATTTATAAGTGTTAGTTTACTGTCTGGACTAAAATTTGTACTGATTTTTAACAGAAATTAATGCATCTTTATCAAAGTACATTTTATTTATTATTGCTCATTTTCCTTTTTTGAGGTCAATCAAAATAATTGTCTTTTGTAAATAATCAGCCTAGTAACTGCTATATCTTTTCCCTTTGAAACTGACTGAAATTAAAGCAACTAGGGTATTTTATATGTCCACATTATGATGTGGATCAATATGTTCTTAACCTGATCAACTGTCCACAAGGCTTTGATGAATGAGATACATGTATTTTGAGTTAATGCCTGTAAACTAAACCAAAATTCAACAAGATTGGCTTATGAATATTACGCTACAGTTTTGATCAAATTTAGTTGTAATTTAGTATATGTAGATAAATTGATTATTGCATTAGATCTTTTATGAATTCAATTTTTTTTTGCCATTGAATAAGCCATCTGATGTAAAAAAAAAAAAATGGGCTTCTGATTGCAATATAGTTTTGATCAAATTTTAATATTACTTTTCTGTACCTGTTTGGGCTAATGGCAATGTCATTCAGTGTGCAATGATGGATATTTTGCCTTACGTTACTTCATTAAAGTTATAAAAGATGTTCAATGCAATTTGTTTTATCAAAATTTTTATATTTTATTTATCAACCATTCCATGTCTTGTACATTGTATTGTGTAATTGACCTTATGTTGAAAATAAAACCAGATAGACATTCATAATTTTCTCATTGTTCCATCTTCCACACAAGTTCCACAAGCACTATGTATTACAGAACAAAGTATTTAATAGGGAAAAATAAAATTAAAGTTAATGTTATTCAAACAGTTTAGAATTAAATAAGGCCTATTATTGTAAGGTCTATTACCTATAGACTCCATAATAATTGGTCTAGTAATGGTATGGTCTTGATTTCCCCTCTTTCTATCTTTTTAACTGTATTAATAACAGCAGATCAGACATTGTTTATTCGCTTGAGACTAATGACAGACCCAATTTTCTTCAATTTTATCTTAAACTTAAAATGTTACTTTTTATAAACAGCATTATTCTATCTGTCTTGAACTGGATAATTTAACTGAATGTCCACTATATGTGATGCTTAGAATTTATATGCAGTAAATGATCTACAACTAACATCACTTTACTTTGTGGAAGGGAGGTAACCCATAACAAACGTTTCTATTTTAAGAAAAGGGAAATACTCCTACGTCATACATAAACATAACCAACAATATGGCTGCCCAGTTCAATTTTTCAAAAGAAACGCCCCCAGATTCAATGTTTAGCGATATTCAAACATTGAATAAATTCCACGACGATGTAAGTATTTTAGTTTGAAGATCAAAGTGAATTATTTTATAAATATGTGATAACAACAGTTTCTGAATTGAATTTTAGAAAGCAAAATTTGGTTTGAGTTAGACCACAACATCTGCCTCTGAATCTGATACTACTATAGCTATTTTGAAAGATGTCGACTGGTGTAGAGACAGAAAAACTAGGCCCTGTTTTGTTGGGAACAGAAAAACTAGGCCCTGTTTTGTTGGGAACAGAAAAACTAGGCCCTGTTTTGTTGGGATTTTACATTTATTTTTGTAGTTCAGTCATAACATCAATCTAAATCTCCCTACACCATTTATGTCACATCTGTGGGTTTTTTATTTTAATTTAATATTACTTTAGAAAAAGGCATCTTTGAAGGTGTGGAAAGTCTCCATTAGGCTAAACAGGGTGTAATTTTTCTGACTACTCCAGCCGAAAACTGTCAAAATATCTATCAGAGGCTGGAATAGAGTCAGATGTTTTGGACTATATTTGAGCAAGAACAGAAGGAAGGTTGTGTTCAGATTGAGAAAGCTGAAGTCATTGACCAGCGATATACACAATACACAATATATACAAGCGATAAACTTTTTATATGCCTAGATGAAATGGGTGATAAATAAGGATAATGATATCTTTAGCTTACATGGGTAAGATATTTCTTGTATGGTACACATCCTCTTGAAACATTATAGTGTGATAAAATCACATCAAGATATAAATAATTTCAAGTAATTTCCTGAATGACTAATCAACACTTGTAAGCATATTCCGGGCTTATTCTTTATGCATACGTAGAGAACAGGTTTTATACATTTACTTTGATCTATATTTCAGCAATTTAGTCAGTTAGTAGAATTTGTTTTCTTATTTTTGATTGAACCAACAAAGGTAAGGAATGTTTTGTGCAGTTCTGTCACATATTAGCACTAAAAACTATCTAGGAATGTCGAAGTTTAGTTCTGTCAACAAGTAAATAATATGAAAAGATGACTATCTCTAATTTTGCTAAAGAATTATTTAAAATTGTATTTTGTATGAAAATGAGATGTTGAATATCATAAAATAAATATTTATTTCCAGTCTGAAAGATTAGTGAATCAGTTGGAAGAGTTTGCTAGTGAAAATGGCGTTGGACCAGGTCCATTAAAAAATGTGTTTAAAAGTTTATTAGTCATTCCAAATAGTAAGTACAACATATTGCCTTATACTCTAATTATCTGGAATTGAATGGTAAAATTAGTGACAATAGTATTGCAATCCCAGACCACATCAAGCTTTTTTCTGGTGGTGCAACATTTTGAATGGTCATTTAAAGATGGTTAAAAGATGGTTAAAGTAAACTATTTGATAAATTGGGTTTCTAATGAGTTATTATGTATTCTTAATCACACCATTATGTTCTAATTGCATATAATTTAGAGTTTTAACCAATCATAAATGTCCATGTATATACAGTCTTGATCTTTTTTGTTGGTCACTCATTGGAATTCTGCTGGTAATTCTGTTCTAATTTATCTAATTATGAATTAATTATTGACATGTGAGACAAACTGGTATTTTTGTAAGTCATTAAAACACCTCTACTTTCTATTCATATAAATGTTAGCATTTTCATTTTCATAAATGAAAATAAGGGAACCCATCTTTAAGTTGCTAGATGCAACATTTTGATCCAGTTTTGACTATTTTTCTTATCTTTTTATTTTCAGGCGCATTAAAGAAAAGTTTAAGTCCTACACACGTACAAGAAGATTTAGTTAATTTAGGTTACATGTGAATTGTGATATCAACTTTTTCAAAAAAAAAAACAAAAGTGTTAAATACGTGTACAAGATTAGGAGTATTCAAAATTTTTGTCTGTATAATATGGCAAGATTAAAGTTCCTTATCTATCTTTGGTCAAACCCACTTTTTTGTATTGCTTAGCCTATAAAAATTCTCACGGAGGGTATATACTAAATGAAAAGTTTGTATTTTATTTTTAAGGTTTATCTGAAGAAAAGGCAAACACATTTATTGAACAGGTAATTTCGAAGAATTTTGAATTAAGAAAATAATGATTTAGAATACTAATCACTAACACTGATTTGTTTTATATACATTGAAATTAAAGATAGGGTTCCTCACATACAGCTATAAACATTGAAACAACCATTCTACAAATCTCATATATTCTGAACTTTTAAGTTAACTTCACAAGTATCTTTAAGAATTATTATTTATAAAAATATGATGTTGACTATTGACATTTAAACTAGTCATCCATACTAATAATATAGTAATAAAGTCTGCTTACCTAGATTGAAATAAAAATCACTTTTATTTGTAGGATACATTATTATCTGAAAATAAATTTGATTCTATATATTATATTTATATACATTTTCAGTGGAAAACGAATTTAGCTTTATTATCCAGAAGTGCCCTGGGTCAAACTTTAATGGTCAACCAGTTAGTTGATATGGAATGGAAATTTGGAGGTAATTTTAAAGGGACCACTTGCGCCATTTTGGGGGGGGGGGTTGATTTGGGTCTTCAGAAGTACTAGAAATGTACGAAAATCGTATAATTTCTTCAAAAATATCTCAATATCAGGAATTTCTTTCCCTGTTTCTATAGATATCTTTTCTATATATGGCAGTATCTCAAGAAAAGATGACTTTCAAATGTGGATAATTTAGTACACACATGGATTCGGTGAGCTGTGAACACTATTAAATGTTTGGCTTAATGGAAAAATTCCCATTTCTGAGATTTATCTATATTTCTACAATGTTGTCTTATCCCAATAGAGATTCTATCACTACATTCATTACCCAAATAGGAGTCTTGCCACCACCATTCTATTCTACTTGTATTAAATCTTTTTCAGTTACTGCATCCAGTAGTGAATTAGATAAAGTTGGCAATACGTTTTTACAGGTAATGAATTATTAGAATTAGAATTATCATTCTAAACTGTGACATCTCAACTGCCTTTTACTTATTTTGACATTTTAACTATTGTATAGAGGTGAAATAAGGCAATGACTGAATTAGGTGAAACATCATGAACAATTCCTTAATTGACAATTAGACTAAAATGTTAATCTTGAAAATCTTAAACTTTCAGTTAAAAATGGTAATAAACACAGGAAATGGTACCAAAAATACATACATGGGTAAGATAATTTATACACTAATAAATATATATATATTCTGTTATTTAAAATCAATGATTCAACGGATTGTTAATATTATGGAAAGTCATCTGGGACCATAACAAAAACATTTAATTGTTCGGAATCCTTAAAATATTTGTAAATGTAAAGAGTATTATAATATTATATCATCTGTAACAATCTTTCCTATCTTTTCCAAAATTTTACTTTTCTCACTTTTTAGCATGATCTACTTGTGGACGCAAATAAATTTGCGAAGATTGAAATAATGCTCTGATATTATACACAAATGATCTCATTTTGACCTTTTTAAATTTCAGAGTTGTCTTTGCCACAATTTTATTCCTTTTTACATGAGATGGAGAAAGCCAGAGCAAGTTTAGAATACCTTAGTTAATTGAAAGAATTGTCCACGTAGATTATTTTGTATGTTTGTACCACAATATTATTTATGATAAAAAATACAGAAAGTGAATTTAGTTTTAATGACATACATACACATTCTCTATAGGTTCTTCTGGGTTGACTTGTATTTTATTTGTTAAAAGAAAAATATTCCCCAAAAATTAGCTTTTGACAAGAAGGTAAGTGCCATGGCCCTGTTTCCCAACACATCAATTTCCAACTAATTGTCATGAATTAACTTCCCTCTGAGATGCTGCAAGTACCCACAAATTGGGAACTGGCTCTTAGGTTACAATCAATTTAATCAATATTTTATTTTATGATGTGCACTTTAGTTACAACACAAGAACTGATTTTATAATAAATAGACAGAATGATAGTTTCTACTATCTCAGTTGCTGTGATTAGACTGGCTCCTAAAAACAATCCAAGTTGACCACCAACTATACCTGAAATAGAGCATATGAAAAATAGATCACCAAAACTAGACATACAATTTCTATTTAACTAATCCATGACAAATACATTCTTCAATTCTATTGTCAGTAACAATTATAGCAAAATCTACTGGTTAGGCTCAACAATCGTCACTGATAATTGTAGCTATAGCTACTAGTTCAACTCAACAGCTGTCAGTGACAACTCAACTGCTGTCAGTGATAATTGTGGCTACGGCTACTGGTTCAGCTTAACTGCTGACATGATTGTAGCTATAGCTACTGGATCAACTCAACTGCTGTCAGTGACAATTGTAGCTACAGCCACTTGTTCAACTCAAATGTCAGTGACAATTGTAGCCATAGATACTTGTTCAACTCAGCTGCTGTCCGTGACAATTGTAGCAATAGCTACTGGTTCAACCCAAATGCTGTCAGTGACAATTGTAGCTATAGATACTGGTTCAACTCAACTGATGTCAGTGACAATTGTAACTCTTTATACTGGTTTAGCTCACTACTGTCAGTGACAATTGTAGCCATAGCTACTGGTTCAACTTAACTGTCTGCTGTCAGTGACAATTGTAGTTGTAGCTACTGGTTCAACTCAACTGATGTCAGTGACAATTGTAGCTATATATACTGGTTCAACTCAACTGATGTCAGTGACAATTGTAGCTATATATACTGGTTTAGCTCACTACTGTCAGTGACAATTGTAGCTATATCTACTGTTTCAACTTAACTGTCTGCTGTCAGTGACAATTGTATCTATAGCTACTGGTTCAACTTAACTACTGTCAGTGAGAATTGTAGCTATGGATACTGGCTCAACTCAACTGATGTCAGTGACAATTGTAGCGTTAGCTACTGGTTCAACTCAACCTGACAGTGACAATTGTAGCTATAGCTACTGGTTCAACTCAACTGATGTCAGTGACAATTGTAGCTATAGCTACTGGTTCAACTCAACCTGACAGTGACAATTGTAGCTATAGCTACTGGTTCAACTCAACTGATATCAGTGACAATTGTAGCTATAGATACTGGTTCAACCCAACTGATGTCAGTGACAATTGTACCTATAGCTACTAGTTCAACTCAACTGTTGTTAGTGACAATTGTAGCTATAGCTACTGGTTCAACCCAAATGCTTCAGTGACAATTGTAACTATTTATACTGGTTTTAGCTCACTACTGTCAGTGACAATTGTACCTATAGCTACTGGTTCAACTCAGCTGCTGTCCGTGATAATTGTAGCTATAGCTACTGGTTCAACTGAACTCCTGCCAGTAACAATTGTAGCTATAGCTACTAGATCAACTCAACTGATATCAGTGACAATTGTAGCTATAGATACTGGTTCAACTCAGCTGCTGTCCGTGACAATTGTAGCTATAGCTACTGGTTCAACTCAACTGCTGTCAGTGACAATTGTAGCTATGGCTACTGGTTCAACTCAACTGATGTCAGTGACAATTGTAGCTATAGCTACTGGTTCAACTCAACTGATGTCAGTGACAATTGTAGCTTTATATACTGGTTTAGCTCACTACTGTCAGTGACAATTGTAGCTATAGCCACTGGTTCAACTCAACTGCTGTCAGTGACAATTGTAGCTATATATACTGGTTTAGCTCACCACTGTCAGTGACAATTGTAGCTATAGCTACTGGTTCAACTCAACTCCCGTCAGTGACAATTGTAGCTATAGCTACTGCTTCAATTCAACTGATGTCAGTGACAATTGTAGCCATAGCTACTGGTTCAACTCAACTGCTGTCAGTGACAATTGTAGCTATGGCTACTGGTTCAACTCAACTGATGTCAGTGACAATTGTAGCTATAGCTACTGGTTCAACTCAACTGATGTCAGTGACAATTGTAGCTATAGCTACTGGTTCAACTCAACTGATGTCAGTGACAATTGTAGCTATATATACTGATTTAGCTCACTACTGTCAGTGACAATTGTAGCTATAGCCACTGGTTCAACTCAACTGATGTCAGTGACAATTGTAGCTATATATACTAGTTTAGCTCACTACTGTCAATGACAATTGTAGCTATAGCTACTGGTTCAACTCAACTGGTGTCAGTGACAACTGTAGCTATATATACTGATTTAGCTCACTACTGTCAGTGACAATTGTAACTATAGCTTTTGGTTCAACTCAACTACTGTCAGTGACAATTGTAACTATAGATACTGGGTCAACTCAGCTGTCTGCTTTCAGTGGCAATTGCAGCCATAGATACTGGGTCAACTCAGCTGTCTGCTGTCAGTGGCAATTGTAGCTGTAGCTACTGGGCCAGCTTAACTGTTGATAATGACAATTTTAGTTGTAATCTTCTAGTCAGCTCTACCATTTTGACCACTTGCTTCTATAAAATATTTCATATGAAAGCCATCAGAGTTTAGCTGAACCTATGGCTCTAGGTATTGTGCACGGATATTAGTTGATTTGGTACTGTTTGTTAAAATCAATTTCCTCATGATTAGGCACTAACAACACTTTCGCTTTTTGTATTAGAAAAAAAAAACATACCTAATATTTCACTGGATCCGTATTCAGGGATGTATTCTATAATATTTACACCTCTGTCTTTAAAGTTCATATGAAACTTTAGTAAATTCTTCCTGTAACATAAATGTGAAAAACATACTTCAAAAGTGGGTTTTTCAAATTGAAACCTTTACGGATTGATTGGTAGAGGAGTGATTCATTGTTAAAACCCCATAAAGTACCATGAGAACTAAATAATTCTATCTAATAATATTGACATCCGGTTTAATGCCTACCTTGCATATTCTCTATGTGATATAGCACCAACTTCCACCAATCTGTCAGCTAGAGCATCAGTGGGAAAGTATGCGAAAGAAAACTCATGTCGATATTCTGTCTTCAGGCATGGTTCTGGGCAATCGCAATTTTGAAATAATTCTCCCTTCTCTATTTGTCTGGCCAATGAGTCTGAAATTGAAGTATATTTTATGGCACATAAGGTTTGAAAATAGACAGTAAAATTTCTGTCTGAAATTCCTTGCTGGTGTGATAAGGAAGAATTAATAATAATAAAATAATTATAATATTTAAAAAAAAAAACAATAAATAATCAAATAAAAAAACCTAAAATAAATAACATACCACTAAAGAACGACCAGCAAGCCACGGCGTCAGTCACATTTTCACAATTTTTCAAGTTTTGTTTCTTTTCTGAAATTATTATATAGAGCCAACCTGTCGTTCAACATAGACTACGGTGAAAGGATTTGACTTTTACTCGGGTATAGCAGATATTGCCAATAAATGCATTATCAACCATTTCAATCAATAATAGTGGTACCAAAGCACCCGATTTTAAGAGCGTTTCCTGATCGGGGCTTGGGGTGGTTATCGTCATAATTCGTTTTATATGCCTGATTAATAATGCAGCGATGGTAAGTCATAATAGAATAATTATTAATTAACGTACCAATATCAAATATTGCAGAGGGAGCACAAGGACAGACCTTTGATAATTCTGTATCATAACAAGTGCCGAAACAGTTCACTTTGCTGTAATTCTGATACTCGGGTAAACTGGTATCTAAACAATAAGCATCACCGACAGCTTTATATGGATATGGTTGAAACCGTGTCTGAAAGTGGAATACGGTATGGTGATTTCAAATGATGGTCATTTTACCGTCAGTCACTTAATATTTCAAAACAGAGGATTTGTGTTAATTTTGTGTTGACCTTGAGTCGATGGTGACCTGGATAGTGCCAATATTTGATCATGTTGGACCATCCTCTTCCTCCCCTGACCATAAGACAACATTTAAATCATAAAATCCAAGGCAAATGTATGACCTCACCTGTGATTGTGATAGTGTGATGTAAGTCGCAACACCTGGTGATAGAACTAAATCCGGTGAGCTTGGTACAGCATAATCAAATGAAGACTGGATATAGACCTGCAATTAAGTGATAGTTAATAAAAACAAAAGTCAACATGGAGGCAACCATTTGGTAAAAACAACAAGTTCTTTTTAAGTGATTAACAATGATTAATGCTAGAGCCAAAAAGGGGTCTGTGCTCCCTAGATCACCAAGAGCAAGATTACATGAATAAAGCCCATTTTCGGGAATGAATGAATGGTAATTATAAATATGAATGGAATTTCGAAGAAAAGATATGCCCAATTTCTATTAAAGAAGCAGGAGTAATGTTATGAAATGAAGAATACATTATCATGCAAGAAATATATATATACCTCTAGTCCAGCTGTGTCAAAGACGCTAGCAGGACAACCAGATTGTAAAACATCTGCAATGACTTCGAGCCCAGCTCTCGAACCACCAAGATCAGTTATGAATGTTCCGAATTTCCTCTGATAACTTTCACCATTGAACTGAAAACAATTCTTTTCGTCCAAAGGCAGCGTTTCAAAAACTTTGTTTGGGTTTAGTTCCTTACCATCCCATTTTACTTGATAAATTGAATCACCAAGAGCAATAGAGGCATCTGCAGTCATACCGGCCAAGATTCTATAGTCGAAAGCAGTTTGATTAAGATCTGAGCCTGTAGTCCTCAGTAATCGCCAATTACTAGTTGCGATCAAAATTTGTCTAAATTCCTCCGTGATATTAATACCTTGCACGCTTAAAGGGCATGATAAACACAGCGTTATTGTAGGGAAATCCAAATATTGGTGATATTCTCGTTTAAAAACTGTTCTTGTTTTGTGTTTACTGATCTGAATTGCTAAATCTACTGAAGTGTACAACCATCCACAGACACCAGCTATTAGAATCGACAACCAAAAAAATCTGAAATGAAGCCACCTTGTTATACAGTGGTGTAACCTATTTTCATGGATTTAAGGATTCAACACCGAATTTTGTCAAAGTTAAAAAAAAGGAAAAAAAAAATTTGTCTTAGAGGTTTCCTCAGATATTCTACCAAAAAATTAAAATTGGTTTATTTCGATTTTCTTTATGAATCCTTTACTTTGACCCATATTTCATGAGCAACCAACTCGGCAACGGCGGCAGAATGCCTCACCTGTACAATGTTTGATCCATAAATAAGTCTAGAAAAACACGTTGTATGGATACCAGGTGGTATAATTAAATCTCTTAGTATTTATCTTTAATATCAATTCATTATAACTAGTAACAATTCCTTCAAAGAACCACGATTTAAAAAATGACAAACAAATACCGACAAATTATGATACGTAGCGTGATTTATTGCTGAGTCACTGAAACAACATAAGAATATGGTCCACTTTGTTTTCCATAGAAATTTTCTGCTGACACAGAATCCGCTAGTTGATCACGTGACTTCTTTTGTTGGACTACATTCTAGCAGATGACACTTGGAATTCCGATTACCGCTTGGGATTCTAAGGAAATTCGGCCGATAAAAAATGGTGACGTTTAGTAATAAGTGAAATCCGCCATTTTGTATTTGTCAAAGTATACATTAATACATTTTACCTTGCTTGATACTTCTGGATTCATTCTACTATTTGATATTGTAGAGAAAACCCTTGTTTATCAAAACAAACTAATGCGGAGGTCTCGCAAGGTCGCTCATAAAAATTATTAATCCTTTCCGGAAATCCACGAATAATAGGTTTCCACGAAATTAGGTTACTTGACTGTACATTTATATTTCATTCCCAAGACCAATATTTTCAGGTTCTTTATAAAGCCTTATTTCTTCTCTCGAAAGAACTGACTGGATTTGTTTGTATGTTGTTGAATCGAGCTGAGCCTAAAATCTCAGGAAAAGGACACATTTCTTTCATTCAAAGTATAAAAGTCTTCTAAACATGAAATCTGTTTCTGTAACTGAAAAGTAATTGAGCTGTACTAAAGGCGGATCCACGAAAAAATATGTGCCAAGAGAGCAGTAGCTCGAATGACTTAGTAAAATTCAATGAGTTAACATTACCTGATAAAGACGGGTTTACCGTTATCAGTGGTACCTTTAAGTCCATGCAGAGTTGTTTCTTGGCTGAAAAGAAACCATCTGTTTTGTGGAAGCCGGTCGTTCATTATTCCAGTTGAGAAAGGTATTATTTTATTTACCAGTTAAAATAACTGCTTTCCAGAACCAGCTTTATCAGGTTGATGTAGTGTTTTAGTTCTATTGACTCTGTGATCCAAAGAAGTCCATGAAAATGTTTAACAGAGACAAATACTTTGGTGTATTCGCATCAAAACGATGTTTATTGAAGTATCATCCGGTTAGTTATTCACAGACTATAAAAAATGTTTTTAAATCCATCGTGCTACATCCAGTGTTTCCAGATCGTTGTTTTAACAATTTAGGTTGAATTACACTTGTATAGCTGGCAGTGTCCATCAAACACTGATTTCTGAAAAGGTGACTTATATAATATACCTGGTTCAACATCTAATCCGAAACTTCTCAGATTGGACAGGATATTATGTTTTATGACTTCCGTATATGAAAAATGTTAATTATACAGCTTAACAGAAGATGAACATTAAGCAGAGTGTGCCTGTTCTAAATCTGTCTTTGATAAGTCTAAATAAGTCTTTGGCTGACTTTCAAAAACAACCAGATACCAGGTAAGAGTCAGAGAGTCCCGGATTAGATGAAACACATTGACTCACATTTGTTGTGACAGAATAAATGGATTCTTGATGGTGTTTATTGTTAATGAACTAATGACTTATACATTTTATATAAATTGAATTTCATTGATCTGGGGATTTTAATACGTTTTGTATAGTTTTTAGATGATAATGTTGTAGTTTAACTGTATACATTTTGTATAAATGGTCCATTATCAACACCATAACTTGATTCTTAGATATCTGATTGGCTTTGATAATTACTTCAACAATTCTAAACAATCGGTGGTAGGTGAATTATGTCATAAATCGTAAGTTACTATAACAATGCATTCCGTGTATCTCTCAATTCTTATATATTATGAAAATCGTTTAATGAAATATTGAGATATTGTTTATTGAAATTGCAAGAACTAAACTTTAATGTGTGCTTAATGAAGCAATATCATAGTTGGTCTGTTGTACGACCAAATCACTTCATTTCTTTGTGGGCGATCGCAAGAATCGTAGGGTGTAAAGACGAATCACGACCAAAATACGAACATATCAACGGTCTATGCACGACCACAAGCGATTGGGTAAGTAACTTGCACAATATCAACTTCCACTACTAATGGACGCACAGCACAAATTGATACGAGACGGGACGAGTTGGGGCTGGAGAGGGAGGTAGGCTAGTTTCTTTCAGAACTTAATCATTTTTAGAGCATCACCCGAAAACACTACCGAAAATATAATATTTACTCCCCCCCCCCTCCTACGCCAATACAATTATTAGACCCTCTCCTATAAATAGATGGGCCCTTCTCTTATTGTTTTTTTTAATTATTTTTCCTCACCTTTCAGTAGATCATTATTAGAGGTGATAGATAAGTCGTGTGACAACTCATAAACATGACATGTATCCTATTGAAAGATTCGAGTTTTTTCCCTTATATGGAACGCCAAGGACAGTCATAAAATGATATTTTGCTCACCTAATTACCACGTGTTCTACTAGACGATTTTGGGAAAGATAACATTGCGTAAATTCATTGAAATCTAAAATGGATCTCAAGAGGGAAATTCACATTTAAATGCTCGTATAATACCAGGACATTGTTATCTGTCATATTTACCAGTGTTTCAGTATTTTGTCAAAGGATGATGAAAACAAAACAAATTGAAAACTATTTTGTTTTTAATCTGGCGAAAAGCTATAATAAATCCAATAAACAAGATTAAAAAATAAAAAACCCAAAGGAAATGCGTATCGTGATACTTTTTCTACAGTGCGTGCTGGGCAGTAATCAACAGTTTTCGATTCTTTTAATGTCTTTCCTGGTATTTCACTTGTCCTTTTTAGAGAATATTTTCTTTTTTCATTATATTCTATTGGTAAATTGTTATTCAATGATAAATTCTGGAAAAAAAATCATGTATAGTATTTATTTGAAGAAATTATATATGATTTCATTTACACTTCATTTAATTGAAACCATATGAATTGGATCCAACGCGCTTCGATGCAACCATTATTGGCCAGTTTCGGTCCATATATATTCTGCCTTTTCATTGCAAAATCTGAAAACAATTACGATTAGCATTTGAGGAACCAATTATTGTTTTAAAGGAATTTTTAAAAACTTACTTCTGGTCCCTGAATATATAATTTTCGATGTCTTCTTGCTAAAACTGTGACTACAGCGTACTCCATATAGGCAGCAAATACAAATATAAGACAGGACACCAACCACACATCTATAGCTTTAACATAAGGCACTTTAGGTAACTCTGCTCGGACACCCGCACTTTGGGTAGTTGTTGTGAGAACAGTCAGAAGGCCAACAGATATACGAGCTGGTACTGCATCATAATCTATCCAGAACGACACCCAAGACAGAGTGACGATAAGAAAACTGGGTATGTAAGTTTGGGTTACATAATAACCTGTTGCACGTTCCAGCAGCAGTTCGGCAAAAAGACATGGAAACAGACCTGCAATAGTTGAAATAGGTAGGCCTACATACATTAGGTTAGAAAAGAATATACTGTATCGTGAAACGTCGACTTCCTTTCTAAAATATGATGTGCATTTAGACATTGAAATATTACCCAAGATAATGATTGACAGATCTGTAGCTATTTCTGAAGACTTACCAGTCTGAAATTTGGCTTCACATGTCTTGGTTGTCATATTGATTAACTTAAAGTCAGGAATAAATACATCAGATAAAATGGCGAGAGGTTACTGCGAGTTGACCATATTAATGATATTTCATGATTTGTGTGTCCATCTGTAATAAAAAGTCATTAACACATTTCACAATCATACATAACATACTCCTCATCTGAACGTGACACGTAGCTCCACATGTTAATGTCGTCTGAACAAAGTAGTCGCAGAGGGGGGTACATTGGGTGATAAGAGCAAAGAAAGTCATGGAAAACGAGAACACAAGCAACAGACAGAAACTTCAGATTGAGGGCAACAAGAGAGTTGTAAGTGGCCGTACATCGACTGATTTTAGCGAGTGATTGGTAACGTCCTGTCGGAGTGAATTGTGGGCAATGAAAGACTAATTACTGTTTAACCAGATGATTCTTTGGAATGAGAGCACGTACATACGTAAATAAATAATTAATTGTTACAAATAGCAAGTACTCACAACTTTCAACCTGAATCCTACATTTCTGTTTATCGTGTGGAAATTTGATCAAATCCATTAGACATCGAACAGTTATTAGAAGTCTGTCAACAGAAAATCAACATTTTGTACTTAAAATGGATTCTTTGCCAATCAATCGGATGCTTCAATGATATTTCAAGAGTTTAGAATTCTTCTGTACATGTTTTTCAACACGAAAACAAATATTTAGCCAATAATAATCTATGAGTTGTACTTTCTTCTGTAAGCAAAAACCACATTTTTCGTACAAATCTGCGTGATCTCCAAAGTAATTAAAGGAAATCAGTATGCTAGTTGATATATAGTCAGGTTTTTTCCCCACCTGAGCAAGTAATTTGTTTTTGTTGTCCTATTTCAAATTTCCAATTTACTAATAAATATTCAAATAAAGTCATAATATTGGTATTTCTCACTTTTGTGCGCAATGAAAAAATGACATAGAGAATGACTAGTAAATATTGGATAGTAGGACTGCAGATTCGTCCACCTTAGCAAGTAGCACGTAAACGAGTTACTGTTATATGCAGGCTATGGTTCAAAGTCCAATGAAATGGTGAAATTCGTATAAAGAGCACCTGAGAATGTTAAAAGTCAAAATTTCACCGGCCAGGTTTTGTTAATTCTGCTACGGATATCTGAAATTAAACTCTATCGGCTGATAAATCAATACAATTCGTATCTGTCCCTTTTAACGAACCTTTGACTATAGAGTACAGTACCATTGGGATAAAGCCTGAGTAAGATATTTGGTGTAGTAACATCGAACCCCGTTTCTGTATTGGTATGCGGGAAATATAAATCAGGTACCCATAGTGATTTTAAATATTTATGGCTTATGATTATACTCCTGTTTAAGTCGGTATATTCTAGTCTCGGATCTGTCCATTGTTGCCGGAAATGGAAACTTGCTGTCATCTCCTGGAAATTAAACAAATTAACTTGTAGTTGCCTTGTCGGGGAAACGACTGTACACAGTATGTACCATTTGTACCCATTGCTGAGGAAAAGAAAGCGGAGGTTCGTGATATGCAATAAGGGGAGTATATATTGGTAATCTCAAGACAGCTTTCAACATGATGTGGTTAGAAATTTAAATAACGAATTAAAAATCGTTTCACACATTATCACGTTAAAAAATAAAAAAATAACATTGTCCATTATTTAACACACTATTATGATGTCAATTTTATTAAGTGTGTAATTACATTACTCCTTTATAGCAATGTTATTACTCAATAATTTAATCAACTTGTTTAATTACCATAACTGTATCTAATAATGGCCCTATTCCAGTGAATTCAAAATCGATTTCAACTATTGTTGGTAGCTCTGAAACAACAAAAGACAGTAAATATGTAGTATCAATCATTATTGAAAACATTGAGTATTATGTACCGTTTTAAAATAGCTTATTCCCAAGACAATCTTATTATCTTTAGCCTGGAGTCAGAATGCGACTGAGATGTTAACATGTTGGTTTCATTCAATGGGTCTTGTAATCATGTGTCTTTTACCATTTGAAGAATAAAAAATCGAAGAATTCAAATCTTAGTAAAGACATTTTCAGTCATAGTCGATGCAGTAACTTATGGTGTATCGGAGGTAAAATTTACCAGTATGAAATATTCAACCTTAAGTCTTACACTTCTTTTGAACTTTTGGGGCGATACTGAATAATATTGCCAAGTTTCGTCAAAATCCATAAATAATTGTGCCTTCTAGAATGTTTATGGGCTAAAAATTGAACGTGTTTTCAAGAACAAGGGCAATAACTCATACTAATTACTTTTTGGTTATTCTGATTTTCAATAGGGTTCAGTTTTGGGTAATTTGTAATACTCACACCAAGTTTCGTCAAAATCTGCCAAGAACTGTGCCTTCCAGAGTGCTAAAAGTTGAACGCATTTTCAAGAACAAGGGCAATAACTCATACTAGTTATTTTTCTATTTTTCTGATTTTCAATAGGATGCATCCGTGGGTGATCGCTAACACTCTCACCAAGTTTTATCTAATTCCGTCAAAAATTGTGCCTTCTGGAGTGTTAACGAGCTAAAAATTGAAAGAGTTTTCGTGAACAAGGGCAATAGCTCAATAAATATTTTCGATTTTTCTGATTTTCCATAGTGTTCATCCTTGGGAGATAAACATTTACACCAAAAACCGTTTAAAACCGGAGTTTTCAACCGTTTAAAACAGGGGTTTTCAGCCGTTTAAAACAGGGGTTTTCAGCCGTTTAAAACAGGGGTTTTGAAAAAGATTTCAGGGAAAACCGAATTGTAAGGATTTATTGGGGGAAAGGGGTAGCCTAATGCAATACACGTTCCTGAAAGGGTAATAGGAAGAAACAGGTTGAAAGGCCCTGTTTAAAAGCTAATGACTTGTTTTATACATATACATGTGTTTTTTTGTCATTAATCAGTTCTATTTGCAACATGACAGTGTGTAGAGAATAAATATTACCTAATTGTAATGGTCGTATTGCTGGATCGTAAGTAGTTTGATTTAAAAGACTGTGTATTAACTTCCGTGTTACCAAATCATCCTGCGACTTGCCAATGACATCCTCGTACAAACTAAAAAAAAGAAACAACAGAAGAATAAAGCCTGTTTTCAAGTTAACCAAGAAGTTGTACATACAAATTTCATTACTCATCAAACTCATTACCAACAAAATTAAAATAGGGCCTACTTCATGCATCATAGGCACTGTCTGCAATGTTTGGACTTTTCGAACGAAAACGTAAGTTTTGCTAACTCCGCATCAGCTTTAGATATATGTCGTGATGAAGCAGTGATGTAAATGTAAACGTCTCGCTGACGATATATGCTTCACAAGGAATTGAGACAATGTGCACCATAAGGAGTTGAGTTATGTAGTATTACCCCAAAATGACTTGAGGCAAAGCCCGTTGATGCCAGACACATAATTTTAACGAGGAATTTATTCTATGTCTGTTTATTGCCTTGAAAGAAACCTTTACATAAAACATCAGGATAATCTGTTCTCTCTTCAAACAAGAGAAATGTTTGGTTCGATATTCACTTCCTATATGATCAATAGTCTTTGTAAAATTCAATGTAAGAACACTAATTTACACCTCCAATTTTAATCTTATGAAAATTTCAGCCGGCAATTACATAGAAATTTTTAATTCTTTTATTTTCTTTGTTCGTCTATTCTCAAGTCGATGAAAATTTCATGGTTTCTATGTATTGATTTTAAAATCTTATTATACACTATCAAAGAAATGAAATAGTACAATGATAATAAAACCGGACAAGTTTATGTTGATTTAACTTCTATATAATTTTTTTAGTAATTTGCTATTATAAATCTTAAAAATTCTTTGTTTTTATAGGCCTGTAGATTGCTCTTGTTTCTCATTTACTTGTGTTAAAGATTCAGAAGAAACAAAAATGTCCTGCCCTGTAGAATTTTAAAATTTTATAAAAACGAAATCTTCGAGAACTCCCCAAGATCCATTGAACATCTCTTAGCATACAAACTACACTGGTATTGATTATTTGCCCCAAAAATTTCATCTAAATAATGGTTTCCCTTATTTTCATTTATGAAAATGAAAATGCTAATACTTATATGAATAGAAAGTATAATAGGTGTTCTAAAATACCAGTTTGTCCATAATTAATTCATAATTAGCGAAATTAGAAGAGAATTACCACCAGAATACCAATGAGTGACCGATCAAAAAAGGTCAAAAAGACTTTTTTGATTTATCCAGACTGTAATTGACATTTATGACTCTTAATTATATTCAATAAGGACATGATATGATAATTCATTAGAAATACCAATTAATCAAATAGTTTGCTTAATGTGACACTAAAATATAAGGAAAGCCATCTTTTCTCTGTTTGTCTATAAACGGTATGCGAAAGGCAATAATAGTCCGCCTTTGTGTGAACGACTAGCTCAAGATCGTTAAAAATTTAATGCATATTCAAGAACAAGGGAAATAACTTATATTCAATATTTTGCGATTTTTCTGATTTTCAATTGGGCGCATCCTATTTTTACCTAGTTCCGTCAAGAATTGTACCTTCTAGAGTAATTTCGCTGCCCGAAAAGATAATATTTGGAGGGGCCGGGGAAGCCCCTCCGATTCCTAAGCTTATGACCCAGATTTTTTTTTTAGGAAAACCAATTCTCCAGTAAGCTATTATAGAGTCAATTTGACTAAAAATAGCCTATATTTATCAATACGCTAACAATTATATAAGCCTGTAGGTAAAATCAATTGAGATATGAATTCTCTACAGTTTAGCAAGTTTAATTCGACACCATAGCCTTTAACAATAGCTCAAGTGTAGGTTAAATATAGTTTGGCCCCATGATAAACGGTTTTAAACCTTGTTGTATAATGCAACCCCACAGACAGTAATGACAGTAATAGAAAATACCAATACACCATGCGATTTGAAAATGGAGATGAATAAGAAAGATTAATTTTTTTCTTACCTTAAAGTAATCAGGAAAATAAGAACAACCATAATATCTTGATAACACAATAATTACTAGTGAATTGAAATATGATTGTAACTGATCATTATGAAGCCTATATTGAATCAATATTT